TCGAGTACGTTGTGCGTACCAGTTGGTACGCTAGGAATACGACCCAATCCAGGTATGTTGATTATGGGCCTTTATCACTGGGTTATGCTTGTTGGGCTTGGACCATAGAATTTCATGGCAATGGGTCACTTCTGATTTTGGGCCCATTTTGGACTTTGGATGATCTTTGGGGTTGGGCCTATGATATTTTATTGGGCTTAAAAGAAAAAGGATTAATTGGCCCTTTTTACTTTTGACACTAGGCAAGTAGTGTAGATTTTCAGTTATGGGTTATGTCCTAATTATTAATTGGGACTTTGTTTGTTTAGCTAGCACGAGGATTTTCCAAGCCCAGCTGCCTGAGCATTTGTCTGGTTTTTCAACATTTGAGGTGAGTTTCCTCACTAGATCTATGAGTCGAAGGCACCAATGTCGACCCTTTTGCTTGTTATGTGGAATGTTAGTTGTCTTGTGATAATTGCATGAAAGACCAGGATATGCACCCTAGCACTTGTATGTAAGACTGGGATTTGGCCCTCGGCATTGTAAGGAAAGACCATGGGGGTAGCCCATGACACTTGTATGTAAGACTGGGATTTGGCTCTCGACATTGCAAGGGAAGACCATGGGGTAGCCCATGGCACTCGCACATAAGACCGAGATTTGGCCCTCTACATTGCAAGGAAATACCATAGGGGTAACCCATGGCACTTGTATCTTTATGTATGTGGTATTTTGGGGAACTCACTAAGTTTTATGCTTACAGTTTATGTTTATGGTTTCAGGTACATCCAGTTCCAAAGGGAATGGCCCGACGTGATGGCACAACATCCTCCCCTCATTATTTCCGCATTTGAAATAATTTGTACTATGATGTTTTTATACTATGATTTGATATCGGTGTTGAACAAATAATGAATGAATTTTAAATGAAAATTTTTATTATTGTTTTTGGGCCGATAAAAGTTGGTATCAGAGCCTTGGTTTGAGGGATTTGGGCATACTTTTGGGTGTGTCTGAACTCAAACTGAGGAAATGATAGTTTTCTTAATAAAAATGGAGTTAAACTTTTAAAAAAGAGTTTATTAAGAAGAGAGGGGTGCGACGCGTGCGATCATCCGAGCTCAAGTAAGTGGTTCCCAAATTACTTATACTTATGTATTATGAGTAGTATGCTTGATATGAGAATTGCATGCTATATAAGCGCTAATGATACCTTCACGAACCATATGATAGAATTGACTGATTTGCGTGATGCCTTATAGCCTAGTGGAACTTAATGTTATGTATTACTTGGAATTGATATCGGCTCGGTTAATTGATATGTGTTTGATTTCAAAGTTGTATACGATTAGGATTGTATAGCCCTAGAATGATCGATTTATCCTCATTTCATGTTCCTTGTTTGGTTGTGGACTTACGGTAGAATCATCATTTGACAGTCTATGTGATCCTATATAACTTGCATGCATATAGGGCAACCATCGATGTTGATTGAGGTTCTTGGTATTGCGAGTGATGGGAGTTGATAATTTTTAGGAGATCTAGGACATGTATGTTATATAGCATAGGATTAGTTATGGTTTTAGTGTGGTGGATTAGAGGAATCAGGATTGGCCTTGAGGAAGGTACAGGTAGGTGTGGAAGGTACAAGCCTTGAAATTTTGTTTTATAGCAATTATAAACATGTCGTGCACCGACTTATGATCTTCAAGCAAAATGACCCACAAAAAAGTTATGTGTCTTATGAAACCTGTTATATTAGGTAGTAGTGACCAAAAAACAAGTGGACATCCACTTTATTCCCCTATAAAGCAACAAAATAACTTTAGGGACTGAATCGACCAATTGTAAGAACATTGTAGGGTATTTGTGTCATTTCCCCTTTTTATAATTAGTGCATCAACTTTTCAAAATGTACACCATTTCCCTTGTATTTCCTTTGATTCTCTAAAGCAGCCCTTCGACTTCATTCTTCATAAATCTTTTAAAAACAAAGACATCAACTTTTTTCATATAAAATAACTAACATGCCTCAATAAATTACATTATTATTTCTCTCGCATCTAATATATAACATATAATGTAAAACATACTTATTCTCAACATCAAGATTGAACTTATATCTATATAATTCAATAAATACGATGGTACCCACTTATCTTACTAATAATTATTATTAAATCATTAGCAGAACAGAAGCTACTGGCACACCAGTAGCTACTAATGGAATGAACATCTATTTATCACATCGGTGTTGCTAATGTTTATGCTTCTTAGCATTTGGTGGTAGTGGTTGACACATCAAAAACAAACATTTGATTCTATATTTAGTAAGAACTAAGTAAGGGTCGAATTTGGAGCTTACAGTTAAATTATGTTCTTTTGTGACTATAGACCGAAAACTAATTGATTGCTTTGAAAACGGTAATAAAGTGGCAAAATAGAAAAAATATTTAATTCAATAATTAGATAGATGATTTGCTTTGCGGTTTCAATTCTAAATCATTTATTAAAATGAGTAATTACTATGTTTTGTGATTGTTCAAGTTGCATAAGGAAATTCAATTATTCCTTAATATTGGGTATGCACTAAGTTTTTTTCCAAACCCCCGTCCTACACATTGTGGTGGGATGATTTGGCATGTTGGTGAAGATTACTTAACAATCGACGTACATTTGGATAAACAACCATATCTAAAGCAACAAGTAATGTAAAATTCTTTAAATTGTTAATAGATGCAAAGACCAATAACAATGTTTCAATAAATCTTAACCCGTTCCAATCTAGGGGATCCTGGGCCACTACTCTGTTTCAGCTCAGTAATGTAAACTTTTTTCTATTAAGGTGTAACGTCTATAAAAAATAGTATAACTACTATTTTTTTGGTGCCATAACTATTGAAAATGCGTCCACCGATGCACGGTGGATTAGTTGTTCACGACGGTGTGTCATGGGATGAATATCATGTGACCATGTTGACCGAGAAGATGAAGACCATGCCACTGGATTAGCTTAGATTGGGTTCAAAATGGGGCGTCCTAGTCCAATGGTGTTGTTATGCTAGTCGTTGTTGCCTAGCCAAGCCGCGGAAGTGTGTGACAATGAAGGGGGCTGTAGTGTTCTAGAGATATAACTGGTCGGGGGCTAGTGTCGCTTCCCTGATGAGTACACGTCAGGATGAAACCAGTTTGCATGTGTAATCTGGGAGTGTTGGTATCGCGGTTTTAAGGGGGATCTCGGTAGACCGCACGGGCAAGAAGTAATGTCGAACTTGCATCTGTGACAAGTGTTATCAGAGCCAATCGACAAAGGGACATGTTATTATGGTCGTATATTTTTGTGCGGTCTGTAAAAGTCCGGACTAGCTGGTGGGTTATCGTGAAGTAAAGGGCGACCTGTCGATTAATGATCCGCCTCCCTGGAAGGAAGTATCAGGAGTAGCAACATGTCGAGTATTCCAAATCAAAGTACAAGGGTTGGGATCCAGTGTTGCAGTGTGCAATCGTACTTGACATCTAAAGAAAAGCCATTTCGAAGGGACAAAATTTCCTCTTCCATCACACGAGGACGTGCGATAATTTGGCAGTGGGAGAGTCTCACGAGCTGAATATCCAGTGACCGTGTTGACTGAGAAGATTAAGATCATGCCACTGGATTATCTTAGATTGGTTTTAAAAGGGGGCGTCCTATCCCAAGGGCATTGTTATGCTAGTCGTTGCTTTCTGGCCGAGTCGCGAAAGTGTGTGACAATGAAGGGGGTCGTAGCATTCTAGAGATACAATTGGTCGGGGGCTAGTGTCGCTTCCCTGATGAGCCCACGACAGGGTGAAACCAGTTGGCATGCGTAATCTGGGAGGACTGGTATCACGATTTATGGGGAACATCGGTACGTCACACGGGCAAGAAGTAATGTCGAATTTGCGTCTGTGATAGGTGGGAGATAGATTCATGTTGGTATTTGTGATCGTTCTTTGAAAGATTCATGGAATCATTTATGGAATTCGTTAGTATGATAATGACACTTCGATATTCAAACCAATGATGTTTAGAGGTGATTTGAAGGAGTTAGGAAACCTCAAAGTTCTATGACAAAAATATATTAGGAAGTGTGTTAATCGATTAGGTTTTGTGATATTTTTATAGAACCTGAAACTTTTGTAAAATGTTTTTTTTTTACAAATTGCATAGTTGTTTTTTTTTCTTCAGAAAATCAATAATTTATGAACACACACATATATATATATATATATATATATATATATATATATATATATATATATATATATATATAATATCATTTTATTGACATGTGTTACTATCAATATTTTCTTTTCACTTATAATACCCGTAATATTTAATCGTTATATATATTTTTTTATCAAAAAGAGCAAAACGTCAAAAAATAAAAATAAATATAAAATCATTAAAAAAAATATTAAAATTAAATTAAAATTAAATAATGTGTTAGAACATTAGATAGTATATTTAAATAAATTTTCAGAAAAATATAAAAAAATCTCAATAATAAATTTAAAGATAATTAAATAAATAGATAAAATTATTTTTAACATACTTGTATTTTATATTTAAAAATATAAAAAAATATATTAAATAGATATAAAATAAGTAACAATTTATATATTAAAAAAAGATTCATCATTACTTAATAATTCTATATAAAAAGTTAAAATTATTATTATTTAAAGAATTAGATTATAAAAGGGACTAACCCGTATATTTACAAGTTCGCAAAATCAATTATTAATATTATACTAATATTTACTAATTTAATCAATTGGATTTTAAATATTCATAAAATCTAATCATTCCAATGTATCTGATTGTCAATATTTCAAAAACAAAAATACAATCTCGGAAAGAAGATTAAAAAAAAAGACCTCCAAATATAGCATGCCGGCGTCGGATGATATATGTTGCAGTCGCCGGATGAAACCCTTTTATCATACACAACAGCATTAATCTACATTCAAGAAGACGATCGATGAAACGATCATATTCACTTAAGAACGATCACAGTTCGCATCATATCCTTAAACTCCATGAAATCAACGCGTCCATCTTTGTTCCTGTCGACGGAGGAGATCATCTTCTGCACTCTTCCGATCTCATTCCCCTCTGCAAATCCCAGCTTCACAAGAACCGTCTGTAACTCGGTCGCCGATATGTATCCATCTCCATCTTCATCAAACACCTTGAACGCCTCCATCATCTCCAACTCCTCCTCCTTGCCTCCCTCACAACTACCACCCTCATCATCCTGATCTTCATTGTTGTTGTTGTTCGGATCATAGTTGTCATCCAGGCGAAAGAACAGATCGTCGATATCCTTGTGCAGAGCCTGGAAGTCTTCGAAGGTGAGTCCGGTGTTTCCGGGTTGGATGAAGGTTTTGATTATGGAATCCAATTCATCCATGTTGGTATCCAGGCCTAGGAGTATCAACGCACGGCTGAGTTCGTCGACGGTGATGAGTTCGTCATGATTGGTGTCGAATAAATCAAAGATACGACGGAGACGTACGGAGTTGAGGGATGGAGAACGGAGGCGGAAGGAAGAGGATTTGAGTTGGTTCTTCTTGGTTGAGTTGTCTGCAACGGTGGTTGTAGTTGTTTCCATGGCTGATGTCCCCAAATATAGATTCAATCTCTTACTCCCTTTTTTCTGTAGACGATTGAAGGAGAAGAAGATTGAATTTGGGGAAGATAGGAAAGGGAGGGGAGATGACGATTGAGTATGGTATTTATTTAGGTGGTAGGAATGGAGGTCCGGTGATTGAGATCGAGATCAAGATCGGGAAATAATATGATCAATCATTGATATGGGGTGGGAAGTGGGATTGCTGGCAGCATATGGATACGCCCATTTTGCGGAAACTTCCATTATACACGACATAGCTATAATTCTGGGTTCAAATTTCGATCAAAATATCACTACTTGTCATTAAATACACACCATTAATGTTTTGCTATCACGAAGATGAAAGCTTCTATTACAACATCAACCATACTACACCTAAACCATCACACAATAAAATTTATGTTTACTTCTTTGAAATAAAACAATCATGCATAGGCATATGAAACGATTATTTATCTTCATCATACTTTGGTATAAAATCAAACAAATTGTTCAAATGTGGTTTTAGTGGTTTTAAGGTTGTAAACAAACCGAACGAACATGAACGAGGGTTGTTCATGTTGAGGCTATAAACGAACCGAACATTCAACAAATTGTTCGTAAACTGTTCGGCGGAAAGTTCGTTTATTTAGTAAATGAACGAACATGAACACAAATTATCGTTCGTTTAGTTAAATGAACGAACATGAACAATAGTCTTATTTGTTTAGTTATGTTCATGAACGTTCGTTTATGTTGTTCGTTGCGTTCATTCATTTAAGTTCTTTTTATGTTCATATATGTTCAGTTATGTTTGTTTACGTTACTATATTAGAGTGCAATATTTGTTAGAGGTTCTGAAGCGTAGTCTCATTTCGATCTAGAGCGCAGTCTTGGTTAGAGGTTCTCAAGCGCAGTCTCTACCGTGGTGTTCCTAGAAGCATCGGTCCAGAGTGGCAGCGAAGCAGTTCTAATCCATAACTTCAGTATTGATTTTACAAGCTTGTTACTACGAATAATGATCTCTTGTCAAAACAGAGTTGGTAGCTGCAAATAAGAAATAATAACACTCCAAATTGGATCATGGATTAGTCACTGCCTCCTTGCACAACAAGTAATGGCACAATAATAAGTGGCATTCAAAACTCGTCGATATATTAGCCCATCTAGTAACATAAGACGCCCTGGAAAGCATCACTCATGTTGGGATAAGTTATAGCCTAACAGTAATGTCACGACCCAAAGTTTGGCTTACAAGTTGTAATGATCACTGCATTGTATACACCATCATGCTGCAAAAAAAGTAATATAAGCATATTGTTTCAAACTAGTTCTTCGTGTTTTGGACTAGTTCTATGCTTTCCTAATACGAGCCTAACTAGCAAAAAGACCTAAAAACAACAACTACTACTTCAAGGAAATATTTATCATCAAAAAATGTACTCTAATCCAAACCTGTTCTACATATTCTGAAAGGATTTTGTATTAAAATAACTTATCGTAAAAAAATGAACAAAACTTACCCACAACTCTGCCAACTCATCATCATCAGAAGTTATATTCTTCGAAAAATCAAGAGTCTAAAATGTATGAAATCAACGAAAGGCAACTATATGTGTTAGGGGCAAGATCCTCAATCCCACTTAAGATCTCGGATCTTAAAGAAACCTCATGATCCTAAAACATACCTCAGAATCCTAACTTTTTATTATTATTATTTCCTAACTGAATTAACGGGTATATTTCTAGTCTTTTTCTCACACGTGCAAAAATAGTCAACATAAGACTCATTCTCAATGAATAAATGTTTCAATCAAGCTTATGACCCGGAAATACCAAATCAAACCAGCGTTTTCATACTTATTCAAGAGGATCCCGAAAATATCATACTTTTAGTTACTTAGACTAGACTATAAATACGTATGCATTATGCACGCTACACACAACTAGGCTTACTGCAAAATTTGTACTCGTATACTTACCTCCATTTCTATAATTCACAATTCAATCAATACAATTAAACAAGGAATGTGATTATTATCACCTCCCAAGGTTTTATGTCGGAAATCCTAACAAGGATCAAGGCTTTCCTTGTAAACCGCTTGTGCGATTTTGTTCTCAATTCGATACTTATTTCAACTACAACACCACAGCCTCTCATTCGATTGATTTTTGACCAAAACAATTTGGCGCCCACCGTGGGGCCATGGTGTTCATAATCCTCGAAAATCATGTCTACACAACCAACCCTTTTCTTCTTCCTCTGTTCCTTTTATTCCTTCGAAAAATCTTCCGCCCTCTCCGAGCGGCCTCCCTGGTCAAAGGAAAACTTCCGATGTACCAAAGAAGAACACTCATCCAGTTGTTCCAGGATCCCTGAGATCCTAAGATCCTCCTGCCTCGGTCTCTAATAACGAACTCTTCTCCATAATGAAGATGTTGACGTAATAGGTGGCTTAGCAACAGGAAGACAATAAAACACTACTTAAGGAACTGGAAAGGATAAGGGTGGAGATCTGTAAACCCCAAAAGGCGACACCCTCAATCTTGCAACCAAGGATCCTGAATTTCGACAATACAGGATCCCTAGGGAAACGTCCAGAATCGAAAGCTCTAGCATCCTTTGCTACCCCAATCGTGGGAGCAATCCCAAACACCCACACTCTTGTGACCCAGGATCATGAGGAAATCTTCAATACCCCTAATAACAGAAATACAGATAACTTCTTTAACAGTAACACTTTTAATACTAACTCTGTGGATCTTGATGTAGGAATAAGTCCAGTCATGGCCAAAGAACTCCAGCAACTAAGGCAGATGATATCGAGCATACCAAGGGTGGTCCAACCTATACCGAAAGCATACCCCACCACTCACAGGATCTTAAGATTTATCCCATCGATAGCCGACACTGAAGTTCCAAAGCACTTCCAAACTCCCAACATGAACCTCTATGATGGAACCACGGATCTTTAAGAACATATAGCACAATATATAGAGAGAATGGAAATCATTCCCATTCCGTCACACTTAAAGGAAGCCTGTATATGCAAGGAATTCGGCTCAACTCGTACAGGATCAGCCTTAAAATGGCTTCTTAATGTTCCTCCCTACTCTATTACCTCTTTTTCTCACTTAGTTAATCTTTTCAATAACCAGTTTTCTTGCAGCTGGATATTCGAAATGATCACTAGTGATATCTATCGGGTGGTCCAGGATCCCAAAGAATCTTTAAGGGAATTTGTAAGTAGTTTTGGCAGGGAATTGTTGAACATACCAAACATCAACACGGTCACTGCCGTGGAGGCCTTTAAGATGGGATTGAAGAAGGATTATCCATTCTATGAAGACCTTGTGATGACTCCATGCAAACGAATGGATGAATTCAGAAGCAGAGCACTATGATTTATCAGATTGGAAAAAGACAAAGAAATACAAAAGAGGGACAGCACATCGAATTTCTATTACAACCCTAACAGGAAGGCCGAGTCCTCGGCCCAAAGATCCTATAAGTCAAAACCATATTATAAACTTTATCACCATAGGGTTAATGCCCTTGATGATGAAGGATAAGAAGACGAATTTACCAAGATTATTGATTATTACTTTTCTGTAGATGTTTTAGTTCTAATATTTGCTACGCAGGATCTTAGTAACAAGGCAAGATGGCCAAGAAAATGAGAGAAGTCAAACGTCTAGAAGGACAAATCCAAGTGGTGTGTATATCATGAGGATTTCGGCCATAACATTGAGGGTTGCATAGCCCTTAGGAAGGAAATTAGTTATCTCCTGAGCAAGTGATATCTCAAAGAGATCCTAGGAAGGAGAAAAGTAAGATCCAAGGAAAAAGAGAAAGTCCCCACGAAGATCCTAGAAAAACCAGAATCCTCTCCCTCGGACGCCAAAGTAATCAATGTTATTTCCGTAGGATCTGAAATCTATGGAACTTCTTATTCTGCAACTAAAAGACATGCCAAAGTATCTAAGACGGAAAAGGAAGACAGACCTCGAAAGAACACGTTGATAACGAATAACAAGGAGATCATCTTTGACGAACAGGATAGAGAAAACATCCAGGGTCCTCACTAAGATGGATTGGTGATTACTCTATACATCGTCAATCATTTCGTCAGAAGGATATTGGTAGATTGAGGATCCTCAGTGAACATCATACTTTTAGATGCTCTAACCAGGATGAATATCCCAGAGTCGGAAATAATCAAAAGATCCTTGGTCCTAATAGGATTCATTGGTGAAACGAAGTGCACCATTGGAGAAATCAAGCTACCCATCTACATTGAGAGGGTAAATTCTATGCAATGTTTTTGTTTTATTGATGCTTTTTCTTCCTATAATGTTATATTAGGTAGACCCTGGATCTACGACATGAAAGCAATCCCATCAACGTACCACCAGTGCATCAAGATGCCTACCCCATGCGGAACAGTGAAGATCGTCGGTGATCAACAAGAATCTAAAGAGTGTTATAAGACCTTGATGAAGTATTCAACGGCACCACGAAAATCATAGCAATTAACTCAAAGGGTATAAGACGTGCTAGAAGAAAGAGATCAAGACATAAAGGAAGTGCCCTTAAACCTTGAGGATCCTGAAGTCAAAGTCCTCATAGGATCCTCGGTACCAGAACAAATCGAGTAGGACCTAATAAAGTTCTGAAAAGAAAGAAATAAAACCCTAGCTTGGAAACACGAGGATATGACAGGTATAGATAAAGAAATTATAACTGATAAACTCAATATAGATCCCTCTTTCAGGCCTGTACATTAAAAAAGAAGGAAATGTGCACCCAAAAGGAACCAAATCATTCAAGAAGAAGTTGACAAACTTCTCAACACAAGGATGATTAAAGAGGTAAAGCTCTCAAGATGGATAGCCAATGTGGTGGTGGTTCAAAAGAAGAATGGAAAATGGAGAGTGTGTGTAGATTACATGGATCTCAATAGGGCTTGCCCCAAGGATCCTTTCCCATTGCCACACAT